GGCATCGGAATTTTGAAGTGAAGGGGGAGATACTGCGTAACAGTTTTATTGAAGGGGCGATACTAGATTGAAGAGGGCGACAATTCGTTAGAGGTTGAGAAACACTGGTGTAAGCAAATTTCTTCATTTTGGCACATATTAATAGTTGTCCTGTAAATTTACGTATTTTTAATGTAATTTGTTCTAAAAAATTAAAATTTGAAAATCTGCATAAAAATTTGCAATTAATTAATATATTTTGATTAACATTCATTCGTCATCACTTTTGATGATGATATTTTTGAATATCAAAAACAGTGAAGCTATAAAAATATTGTTTATTTAAAAAGAAAACTAAAGTTTTTTTGATGTTAAATAAACAATTTTTAAGTTGATATTTTGTGATGTATGCTTTGCCACTCTATTTCACAATAAACCAGTACAATTATCAGTGTCCTCAAAACATAATATCTACAAAAATTTTACAAAAGAAGAATTAGATATTAACAATGTTCAATAAATAACAAATGATATCAACAACACTTAAACTTTTAAATTTGTATGAAGAAAAATCTACTTTAGATAAATAATGTGTATATTAAATATAACTGCATTTTCTTGACATATAAATCAAAGAAAAAATACAATTTTGTATACGATTTGTTTTAAAAGTATAAATTCTTAATACATACATGATACAGAAAATACTTCCAAAACTTAATACATCTTCCTTTTTAGGACAAATTTTTGCAGTTTTTAATTCAAACTGATAAAAACAGAGTTCTTTATCTAGTTCTCTTCTTTCTTCTACAAATCTAAATTCATCCTAAGTACATAAAATAATATATATTATTTTAAAATTTTATTAAAAATTATTTATAAACATAGACAAAACTCAATAACTGATCATACATAGTCTGGACGAATAGTCATATTTTGCCAGTTTTCTCAATCTTCCATTGATGCTAATATAATTAATATTTGCATTAATTTGATACTATAACCCATTATATATCCAATTAACTGGTCAAAATTTTCTATACTCATTTTTTTTACTAAAACAGAATAATACTCTTTCTCACAAAAGCAAATGACTTTGAAAATGAGGATCCTTTTTACTTTTAAATTCCTTCCACCTTGTGGGCACTAAAGGGGTTTTTATGCCTATGAGAATAGAACCTAATGTATCTCACTCAATTTACCATGACTTCAAATTCTGGGTCAATACAGAAATTATCATTTTCCCAAAGTAATAGGATAATATTTTTTACCACTTCAGTCATCCAACTGTCATATTCCAGTGCTTCATTATAGAAACTGATGCATTCTTGCTATTCACTCTTCAATATGCCTTGACTGTGTTTGCATTCTTTAGATGATATCAATAACAAGTCCATTATACTATTTGTTTTTTTTCCTATATTATTTTTTTAGATGCTCTTATTAGTGATATAGGATAAATAGAGTCACAATGATGTATGTGGCAAATAAGACATCTACATTTGAAAGTGTCTTTTTGTGCACCCTGGCTTTTCCTCCTCCCATCTTTAAATGTTCTTTTTTTAACAAAAATTCTATCCTTTATATGTTTAAAGTATGATTATAAAAATTTGATTACCTTGACATATTTCCAGTGTTCTTATTCCAAATTTTTTCAATATCATCTGGTAACATGTCATAGTAATGTCCTATGGCTATAATGTAGCAATGGAGATGTGATTTTCAACTTAAAAGATTTCATTAATCTCTGTAGGAAATTAAACTAATGAAATAACTTTTTTGTGGTTTGATTTTTTGGACTATGTTAAATAATTTCTAAACAAAACAAAGCATTGTGGCAGTTGGGTATAAAAATTAAAAATTATCAAATTTTGAGAAATGTAAATAAGAAAATAAATATAATTTTAATAGGGTTGAATAAACATTTATATAATATAATAACTGTATTTTTTGCATATTCAGAAAAAGTATTGCCCTCTAGTAGCATCTGCTATACAGAATAATTTTTGTCTAGTTAAATAGTCACTCCACTTAACTGGCCAGTATTTCCTAATCCTGCAAATCTACACATCGCACATGAATGGTGTTTGTATGCGGTAGTAGCCCCAAGTCTCAATTCGTGCACTATGGTGGTTGTGTCTCGATAGCTATAAGGGTGTGGGAGATATGGGCTTGAAAGTGGTTGAAAGTGGAAGATTTTCTATTTTGATTTTAAAAATTTTCGAATTCGAATTGGTTTGGTTATAGAATGATTGTAAACGTTCCAGAAAATTGATCAAATTGAAAATAGTTTGTTTGACTGGACATAAAAATTCTCTAATTAGTCTGGAAACGGGGGACCTAATTCTTGCATTCTGTGAAAACGAGTAAGATTGGCTATAATGTAATTATCTTAATCTTCACTATCGTTACTTTTTGCCCAGAGAAGCGGGTCCTTGCAGCTAGATTCTAGATTACTTAGAAAAACAGTCTTTTATATATTAAAAATAACTATATTACATACAAATAAAAACCCAGTGAATCGGGTCCTTGCAGCTAGTTATATATAATAATAATAATTTGAAAAAATTATCCACTGATGAGACCTGATAACATTGGCAAAATGCATTTGGATAAAGGAGAAAAAATATAATAAATGTTTTAAGTTGTTAACTGTCTATGTCATAAATTCCTTGAAGTTGGTGCTGATAGTGTTTTTTTTTTTTTTTTCTTTTTTTTTTACTCAAAGACTATTTTCTGAATTTCTAATTCTTCAATTTTTTTAGAATTATAGTTATATATTTAAATTACAGTAGATAACAGATACCATCGCTTAATTTAATTTATATTTTAAATAATAGAATTTTGTTTTTATAATTAATTAATTATTAGATTTACAATAATCATACCACAATTTAGATTTTGATACACTTACTATGGTTGCAGATTCATCACATATGATCATAATATCAGTTAAGCGAGGTTTGTGTGTGCAATGAGCACCATAATTATTCCCACCATAATACTGTAATGATATCCATACACCTAAAATGAAAAATAATTTAAAACTTACTTTACATGTGGTCTCTCAAATTGTGATTTGCTGATCTGCCATAATAAATTTACAATACAAAATTAAACTCATTCAAAAACACCATATTTAAGCATGATCATAAAACAAAAAATGCTTAAAGATGTCATTTTGCATAAATCTTTTTTAATATTTTAAGAAATTTATATTATAAAAGAAATAAATAAATTAAGTAAAAATTGAATTATGAATCAGCAATCAATGGCAAAAGCTACTTAACACTGAATCTATTAGCATCTTAAGAACAGTCAAGAAGAAAAAATGAGGAGCTGATAAATAAACTAAGGAATTTCAAGTCAATACCAAACTGGACAATATAAAACCAAAAACAACAAGCAATTATTCATTGTGACGATGTCACAATAAATAATTGCCAGGTTCATATTTTTTAATTAATTTAATTTAAATATATGCTCTCCACCTCAAATTAGTAGTGGTTTCCCCCTGTACATCATACTTTTCCTTTAACAATACAGTTGTGCTGGTCATCTATCTAACACCTTTCAGGGAAAAATTTCTGAACTGAAATAAGGACTTCCAGTTTGTATCGGAAGTTCGTATATAATTAATTGGAATCTCCTGCCCCTAATGCTTTCATACCGGGTCTCAATCTTCATCTATCTAACTTCATTTTTGAGATTAAGGAAAGATGGATAGATGGACGACAATGGAAATTTATAGGTCTACAATTTTTTCAAATTGCATCCCAAAAATACCATTTTAATCCAGCAATTATTTTAAACACAAAACCAAAAATGTTAGCTTAAATAGTCATGATCAGTTTCAAATGATCAATAATAATGAATTCTAGAATGATTGATCATTCAACCTGATCATTGCTATTAAAGATAAACACAACACAAATATTTTTGACTAATGATTTAATACAAAAATAATTATTATTTAAATGTATTTAAACAATAACGAAATTTTAAATCAAACTATCTAGAAAATATATATTATTTAACTTTATCCTATCCAGAAATTTATGAGGTATAATTTGTTATTACATCCAAAAAAATTCACAACTCTTAAGACTTCTTTTCCTTTCCCAGCTGGTATAAAATTTAACAGAAGGAAAGTATTTGGATCAATAAATTCCAACCCCCATATTATTTCATTTCTCAACATTGTGAACACTTCAGGAGCCCAAAAGGTAAAAAACTCTTACAAAATAGTGTATATGTGTGTTGACATGTATTTTGCATTATATCTCAGGACTAGTCAAACCAAAAATTTTGAAAATTTGGCAGGGCTATTTCTGTGTATGGATGTAGTTAAATTTTGGTGATTAAAAGTGAAAGGAGTGAGGAGAGATCATGGGTCAGATTTAATGAAAATTTTACTTCTGTTTAGCAGTTATGATTTTTTTAAAAGTCACCCTTACCCCAAAAATAATACTTTTGCTTTTTTTTTATAATGATTAATAATATAAAAAAGCTATTCTTTAATAAAATCTCATACAATTTTGTATGGTGTTATGTATTAAATTTGAGCCATATTTTTAGTGTTTTTTTTTTTAAACTTAATTCTATGGCAATACAAATGAACAGAGTCTAATTGTAATAAAAAAGTCCACAAAACCTTTGTATTACTTAAATATTCTTTTTTGTTTAGAAATAGAGAAATTTCTTACAATTTAACAAATTGACTTGTTTTAAAATTTTATTATTTAAATTTTATATCCTAGTATAATAGAAAAATTATTAGACTTCCTTCCTGGTCCCTTTAACCTCCCATTCAAATACCAGGAAAGTCAAGAGAGCCATTGCCAGTTTTACTTTTAATACAGTGGGTGATCAGTTAACAAACAAATTGGATAACGAACACTTTCACGAAAGATTTTTATGTTCAGATAACAAACACCTCACAGAACAAACACAATAAGAAGCGACGTAAAATAATGAATACCGATAATGATTGGTCTTCCCTTGTCTTCAGACAATTTGAAACTTTTTGGAGTGCGGGAGATGTCAACATCGACACTCAACCCGGTATACACTGCTTGGATAGTATTCCTCCGAACTTTGAAACTCTCTCTTGTAATTCCAGCCTTTTATTTTTCTGACAGAAACAATTCTTTTATAGTATTCACAAGACTGTCGCGCAAGCACTCATTAAGTTTTGCGTCAGTTTTTATTTTCAAAAGGTAAGAGTATAATAGCAAAGGTAGAGAGTGGACAGATATCTGATGTTGCTGGGCAATATGGCTTGAACAGGTCTACAGTAAGCTGCAGTTCAATCTTATCCAAGAGAGATAAAGATATAATCAAGAAGACTCAAACAGGTAAAGGAGTAACAAAAATCACATCTGAGAAATAAAGAACATTGAAGTGCTCATAATGGAACCTGAAACAGATCTGATGACAGAAGAACACCAAGAAACTCTGTGAAATATGTTTTCTTCTGAAAAAGCGGATTAATGCTGATATCTGCTATTAAAGATCTTTTGAAGAAGAGGGAGGATGCCAGAACAACGGTCTTAAAATGGCATCCAAACCAGGTTGAGGTTAATAGGCTTAGGGATCTCTACAATTACAATGTTATTAATTAATTCTGAAAAATCCTGAAAAAGAGGGAAAAGCAATTGATTCTTTAACCCCTACAAACGGAAAAAACATGACTAATAAAAATGCAAGACTGTGTATATATGTATTTTTATTATTACATATGAATAAACATAGTAAGAAAGTATATATTTTTTATTTTTTGGGATCTCCAGAACAAATTAATCAAATTCTCATAAAAACCTATGGTAAATGGATAATCGGTTTATGAACAATTCAGATAGTGAACAAAGTCTTGGAACAGATTATGTTCATTAACTGATCACTAACTGTATATAAAAGTTGCCTATTACCAGTTTTTTAAAATCCTTATACTTGTCCCAGCTTTGCAGCTTTGTGGGTTTTAGATTTCTGCTGAGAAACCCACAAATCTATGAAAAGCATAAGGAAAGTTCTGTTCACTAACAATCTTGCTGGAATGTATGCTCAATAGATTGGTCAGCAAGAATTTATCAGTGCACAAATACAGCATAAAGCAGCAATGAGACCTAATCCTGAAGCTACAGAATTTAGACCAGAAAGAGAGTTTATTATGGTGATGAATTTCACACTGTATCTCTCACTCAAACTGGAATTGTGGTTTGACATTTGAGAGACTTCCTAATGAACATTATCAGTAATTTGACAGCATACATACAAAAATATTGGAATTAGCATATCCAGCTACACAATCATTACTTTTCATATTCAATAAGCTTGTGTATAAGCAAAACAGAGGGGTGCCTATGAGCTGTCCCAAATCCAGGACTCTTTACGAGATGGTCTTGAGATCATTGGAAAGAGCAACTAAACCTAAATATGGATACATCATTGTTCTATATATATTTTATGTAGATGATGTATTAATACAAAGTTGTTAGAATTAAACTGATGGTATTCAGACATGCATAGAGTTTGTTCTACTGAACCAAATCAAATGAAACTCAGCATGTATGCAATGCATATCATGGGATTATGATAGAAAAATTTAGTTAAAATTTTCACCAGTAGAGGAAATGGTTTGTGCAATGTTATGACAAAGGAGTTCCTCTTAGCGGAAANTTATCCTCTGAGCATTTTTCTGCATTATTTTCAGATTCATGCTTTACCTTTTGCAAAAAGTGTATGTAATTTTAGATTGCTTGCTTCTAGTTAAAAGATCTTTATAAATTTCCTTATATGGTGCTAAGCACTTATGGAATAAGGGAAAAACATCTGGCAACACCAGAAGCAGAAGTGTCGAGATATGGCAAAATTGAAACAATTTTCGCGAAGGACCATGTGTATGGAGACGAGAAAATAAAATTTACACACTGAAGTACTAATAGTTCACGAAAATAATGATTTTCGTGAACTATTAGTACTTCAGTGTGTATTGTAAAAATTTATTACAATAATTTATTACAATAAGTATGTAAAAATTTATTACATTTCATGTTGTACGAGGGTTTTACCCATTTCTCGAACCGTGTCAGAGTGAATCCGTGCTATAAAAGTACCGTGATATACGGGGGATGGTACTAATTCTCGAATCGTGTTAGAGTGAATCTGTGCTATAGAAGTGCCGTGTTATATGGGGGTTACCTGTAATTCACTCTCTTGCTGGCTAACAGGATCATCAGGCACCTGATCTTGCAAAGATACTTCTTATATATTAGGATAAGTTGATATAGCATGAATATGTTTGCAAATTTTATAGTTAATATGATAATTAGGGCAACTGCAACTATGGATACATATATTACACTTTACACACCTGAGATGGCAGTTTTCTGCTGGACAGTTGTCATCTGTTTCTTTGCAAACACTGTATTTTACACTTCCCTCTTGTGATGGAACATGCCACATTGCATAGTTGACCTGTATAATCTTTATTTATAATTTTACTTTTAATATGATTATTTTCAATCTGTTTTAAGCAATAAGATGATTTACCCTTAATTGTCTTATGCAGTCTGTCAAAGTTTATCCCTGGTGAATCTCATTAGTGCATAAATTACCCTATCCACTCTTTTTCCTTTCTTTCCTTGGAGATAAATGTGCTTAAGAATTTTATGAAAGGATTCAACATACATATTACAATTTATCCTAAACCTCTCCTGTAGCAATATGACCACTGGTAAACTCTGCATAATGACTCACAAAATAATTTCCAAAATCTCGAGTAATATCATTAGTTAACAGATCATTAAGCACACTATCTAAAAGGCATTGAAATTCTTCCTCATTTCTTTCTTCCAATAGCATCCTGATACATTTATACACTTGTATCTTAGTTTCTTGTGTACCTTTTACTTTTTGGAGTTTTTTCTAGTTCCTGTCTACATGCCATATACAAAGTAAACGATTTTGTGGTTCTGGCATTACATGAATCCATGCATTAAAAAATGCAGGATCATCATCTGACAAATACTTTTGACTCAATAG